TATTAATTAGATTAATTAGACGGAAAATGATTACCGGCCATGGGTCCCCGTGACGGCTAGGCAAAAATTTGACGCGGATGCAAGGCAAGGAGCAATCGCCGACACTAAATAAGTGAGGTGGACTTATAAGTCTTGCTTCCATTCTGAAAGTAGCATCGAAAGTTCCGGAGCAACGCTTCGGACAGTCTGGATTTCGATCTTCCAGAGTAGGTTCCTAAAAGTGCGTTATATCGACTAGAGAGGGGTGAATAGGCGATAGGAATTGCTACTTAAGGAATTTGCTAAGTGACGAAATACAAGCAGCGGATAAAGTACTCACGTGCATGCATAACATGGCAGTGGCATAGTCATCATGATGAGATGAAACATACACAGAGCACAAGTAGCATGTGAACAGGATAAGCAAGCGGAAGACAAGGTGACTGGAGAATTTGGGTTGAGGAAATTGAGAAACTCTTCAGTCAAAGTCTTCACACAGTAATGATCGATTTCATCAATGAGGAATTGAAAGGATTGAGGAAATAGAACTGGTAGCTCGGTGAAGATAGTGATTTGGTAGACCATTCCAACTGCTGTGACAGTTGTATGTCTGGTTGGACTGGCTTGGTATTTAAATCAAAGGACACACAGTCCTTATCGTATTCTCCTTGAGCTAAGGTTACACAGACCTTGTTGGAGATATATGTTCTAGAGGCAATCATGTATGATGATATTTCCTATGTGTTTATGAATAAAGATAGTCCTTGGACATTATCAATGATGTGTATCAGTAAGTACGTGACTTGTTTGTGGGACTATGCATTGCATGATAACTGTCCTAAAAGATCCCTAGTCGAAAGGGTTGTGTGGACGCGCAGCCGACCAGACTAGCATATGACACGGTCGATGGCTTGGTCTCACTAACCATGGAGCATTGGATACTAACTGGATAATATGGACTCGGAAGGATCTGGTCAGATTCGACGTAGTCGGATCCGGATTGAGATAAGGTCCGAGTCAGATAGAGCCAACTATGAGACGCAGCGATATGTCATCTGTGAGTCTCTAGTACAACATGCGTTCTATGTCCTGAGACCCGAGCTCGCGCATGTACTCGGGATGGTGACAGACTTGCTTTGGGCCAACCAAACGCTACTCCATAACTGGATAGTTACAAAGGTAGGTTTTTGGCTTGTCCAGACCCATGCTGCGAGACATGGTCGAGTAAGATGGGATTTGCCCCTCCGATTATGAGAGATATACTCTGGGCCCCTCGTGTGATCCGACCAGGATAAGCATGGCCATGCGACAAGGATTATGAGATAATATGGTTTGTGGTCGGCATCACTGGAATGGAAAGAGGTTGGGCTAGCACAAGGATGACAGACTCACCTTAAGCCCGACAACATATATCGTGTGGCAAAAGGAATGGAAGTATGATGTATAGGTTCGCCTAACCAACTTCATAGTCTGCTTGGTGTTCGGCATGCCTTGCTAGGGGCCGCTACCAACCGTGCAGTTCGAAGGTGATCCAAACTGCGACCAAGTCGGCTTGAACCTAAGGGGTCATGCGCTTAAGGGAAGGAACCTACGAGGTCGAATCCGAGGACACTGGTCGGATGTGATCCGAGCTGTGTTCGGATTCCGGCTGAATAGACTTATGGGCTTTAGGGTCCGTGTGAGGCCCAAGTGTTGAGCCCACGAAGGGCGCCTATATAAAGTGAGGGTGCGGCACACTCATGCGAATGATCGCTTCGGCGCTGTCATTAGGGTTTGCATGTGTTGCGAATAGCCATCTCCACTCGACCGCCGACTATGTGATCGGACCTAGCAGTCCGCCGCACGATGTTCCTCCTACACGCGCGGATACCGTTAGAAGCGGTGCACTTGCGCCGCTCCGGCGAATCTGTATGTGGGAATCAACGACCGGCTGTTTGAGGAAGATCGGACGAGGAGGAGACACGCTGCCCCAACTCTTCTTCCGCTGCACGGCACAACGCGTCTAGTGGTAATGATATGTGATCCATCTCTCGTAGCATATTCTTGGTTGTTATGCGCGTAGGAAAAATTTTATTTGCAGTCGACGCACCCTACCATAGAACCCAACAGTGGTATCAGAGTATCTGCTATAGGATTTGAATTCGAATCGTATGCATATTAGATATGTGGAGGCGGCAGATGATATATGTTGTCGTTGATGAGATCGGTTGTGGGCATGGTTGATGAGATCAACTGCACATGGGAATCGATGTGGCTATGTTTTCTGATGATTGGAGTTGATGAGGTCGTGACACAACCTACCCCTACTGGTCGGTATCTGCCATCGGGGTTAACAATGAAACGTAAATCCGAATTGGGCTCGCGATGATCGATAAGATCGGTCAGATCGGAAAATTTGGCGTGATCGAAGTTCAGATGTGATCTTTGATTTCTGAAAATGTCGGGCGCTGCCCACACCCGTGAGGGGCGCTGCGTGCGTAGCGCCTTGTATTTCGTACACGATCACTCAAACTGGTAGAATGCGATTCTATGCATAACTTTATTTTGTAGGGTTTGATGTGAATAGTATGGTATGTGTATGTAATGCATGTGTGTAAATTATACATGGCCTGCGTGTCATGTTTGTCAGCCGGCAGGAGCCAAAGTGCTATCATCATATTGTATAACGACATGCGTGTCGACTTGTGACTCTATGTAAAATTCATTACTAGTTGTAGTAGTTGGATAAAGAGATCAGGTTGGTGGCTTGGCGTCCCGGCGTGACAAACAAGATGGAGTTCCTAGATGGTCATCGGAGTCGGAGCCGACCTGGAAGAACATCCATGAAGGAGCCATATTATTTCACAATATATGTTTTTTTGTGATTGTTATGCTTTTTGTTTTCTATGCATGTTAGAATGATAGAAAGACCCCCTCGTTAATATCAAGAAATTTGACATTCCCGATGTTGCACCTTCGCATGTCAAGTATGTCTGGTAGTGGGCTCATAAAATTGGGTGCTGCTAGGTATCGGGTTCGTGTCGGACATGGACATGCACTACATCAGGTTAACTTGACAAGGCTATCAAAATGGTTTTGGGCCTTGTGGCAAAGAAGATTGGCGGCCGGGGTATGAGGTACTTTCCCGACCGACAGGAGTTGTATAGAGATACGATTAGCAAGGAGTTGCTTACTGGATAGGCATGTTGTCTAGTAGTGATGCTAAAGCTCACTAGTCGCATGTGCTAGTCGGATCCTGAATCACTGAGAGTTTGCAGAGGGATGTCAACTTTAGTGGGAGTATCTATATTTAAGGCTTGAATTACTCTACATAAACACATTGCTTAGTGATTGCATATTTTCTATTGTAGAATAATGGCACCACCTTCTCAACCCAGTTTTGCATTGAAATCAATTCTGGAAAAAGATAAACTGAATGGAACAAACTTTACCACCTGGTATAGAAATCTGAGAATTGTTCCCAAGCATGATAAAAAGGAACATGTTCTAGACGATCCACTTCTAGAGGAACCTGTCGATAATGCTAATACCACAACTAAGAATGACTACCAGAAAGTCGTTGATGAATCAACGGAGATCAGTTGTCTGATGCTGGCTTGTATGGAGCCCGATTTGCAACAACATTTCAAAAATGTTGAGGCTTACGATATGATCGAAAGTCTCAAGAGCGTGTTTCAGACACAGGCTAGGACCGAAAGGTTCAACGTCTGGTGATCCTTGATGGATTGCAAGCTGAAGGAAGGTGATCCACTGAGCCCACATGTGATCAAGATGATCGGATATGTGCAAGCTTTGGATCGTTTGGGCTTCCCTACTGATGCAGTTCTAGATTCTCTTCCGCCCAGCTATGGAACGTTCATCTCGAACTATCATATGCATGGCATGGATAAGAAGCTCACTGAATTGCATGGGATGCTCAAAGTGGCAGAGCAGGATATTAAGAAAGGCACACATCAAGTGTTGATGGTGCAAAAATCAGCTAAGTTCAAGAAGAGTTGGTCCAAGAAAAAGGCTAAGGCAAAGGGCATGGAGACGGTAACATTCGCCGCTGCGCCGAAGTCTGGACCGAACTCGAAGACCATTTGCTATCATTGCAAGGAAACCGGTCACTGGAAGAGGAACTGTAGCAAGTGGCTTGCAGAGCATGGCAAAAAGGCCGGAAATGCTTCTTCGGGCAAAGGTACACTTGTTGCATATGTTATAGACATTTACCTTGCTGACATACCCAGCAGCTCTTACGTATTTGATACCAGAACGGTTGTTGATAGTTGCAACTCGATGCAGTGGCCGGTAAGAACTAGGTGTGTGGCACAAGGGGAAATTGACATCAGGGTCGGCAACAAAGCAAGAGTTGCTGCGTTGGAGGTCGGCACAATGCAGCTCCAGCTTCCTTCTAGATTTAGTTTGGAATTGAATAATTATTATTACATTCCTGCACTTAGTCGAAACATTATTTCTGCCTCATGCTTGATGAGTTAGGGTTATGAATTCAATTTAAAGGACAATGGTTGTTCATTTTATTTGAATGGTATGTTCCACGGCCATGCACCCATTGTTGACGGGCTATTTATATTGAATCTAGAACAGGAACCGGTCTATAACGTGAATGTCAAGA